GCCAGGCTGCACAACAGCCCCGCAAGGCGGGCCAGAGAGTGAAAGAGGCCAGGGGCGCCTCCCACGGGGCCTTGCCAGCCCGCCACCCGGGGGCTCCTCTCCGCCGCCCAGGTTACCTTGGCAATCTCGCCGAGGAGGGCCTGGGCCGGGCCGGCCGGGTCCCCCCAGCCCAGGGGCTCCAGGCGCTGCAGACTCCTGACGATTTTCTTCTTCTTCTCCGCGAGGGAAAGGGAGCCGCTGCCAGACTGCGGGGGGCAGCGCCAGGCCCCCTCTTGGCTCTGGGGCGCGCAGAGGGCCCTGCTCCGCACGAGCCGACGGTGGAGCCGCTCCTGTGGAAAGGGACAAGAGGCTCCGTAGGGCGGGAGGAGGAAAGGCCCCCTCGTGCGGTGGTGGGGAGGGGGCCGGTGCCCCACTTCCTGGGGAACCGCTTCTCCATCTTGGAGGGCGGGAATGGTTTTCCGAGACCACGCCAGCCGGGAGAAAAGGCCCTTCAAAACCCGCTCCCGAGGCCTGCCCGGCAGCCCCACTGCAACTCCGGGCAGGGCACAACAGACGAGAAACCGGAACAAGACAGACCAATTCAGTCACAATCCGAACGTTAACGCACAACCGGGGAATCGCATTCGTGTCCCTCTCCGGGGAGGAGGCCCAGTCCCCCCAGTCCCAAAGCCCGTTTCTGCTGCCCTTCTGGGGGCCCAGGCGGCCAGGGCCGGCCGCGTCTCAGGAGGGAGGTCGCTCGCCATGTTGTTCTGCTCCGCCTCTAGAGGGGTCTGCGCTTCTTCCATCGCCCCAACTTTATCTGGCCAGCGCTCCTGTGACCGGGGGGCTCCTTCCCACGGCTCAGAGCACCTCTGTCTGCCCCCTGCCCCGTTCTCTGTGGCTCGCGAGCTTCAGCCTGCTATTCTCCGGTGGGTCCCCACTCAGCACCCACGCGCGTCGCGTGGAGGAATCCGGATTAAAGCGCCCCGGGCAGGCGGCGGTCCAGACTCTGCCGGAACGCCCCCGGGAAGGGGCCCCCGCCTCCCTTCTGGGCAGGCAGCTCTCTCCCGAGCTGCCAACGGTCAACCCACCTCGTCCTCCGACGCCTGCGTGTGCAGGATCTCAGCCAGGGAGTCTCCAGGTTGTGACCGGATCACATCCACCAGCATCTGCTTGGTACTGCAAAGAGGAGGAGGAAGGAAACACGGGGAGCCAGGTGACCGTTGGCAGCGAGCAGGCGGTCTGTCCCCTGCCCGCAGGCGCTCCAGCCCGGCTCCCGGCTGAAATACAAGTCAGCAGCTGAGAGAGAGAGACGCTGCCCTGCGAGGCTCGCCCAGCAGCCCCAAGGCCTTCAGGAGGGTCCGGGGGACTGGACAAAGCAACGGAGCCTGCAGTTCCTTGGCTGTAATCCTAGAAAGACTTACTTGGAAGAATGAATCCTGTTTAAGGACAGACTTTACTTTACCACCAAGTAAACAGGGCGATAAGAGTGATTTTTTTGGTGGCCCTATGAGCAAAACTGGGACCCTCCGGGCCCTATGAACAAAAAGGGGCACTTCGGAATTCTGCACTGAGCTACCACTCGATTAAGAAGGGCTTTCTCAACAAGCCCTGATAGTCAGATTCACACAGTCAAACAGCATCCTGCAGTTTACAACCAGCATGCTCGTGTCCGTTCAGCACACAACGCCGGGGTAAGGCACGGTGTGGGTGAGGGTGAGGTGTGAATCTGCTCTCAGGGCTGACAGGGAAAACCAGACGCTGCCTTCTGACCCGTCGGGTGGCTGGTCTCAGTATTCTCGGCCTCAAGGGTCCCTTCACATCCAGCTTAGCTAAGAGCTGAGCTGTACCAGACCCGGTTAATGCTTGGATGGGAGACCCCCTGAGATTAGGAAGACAGCAGTAGCAAATCACCATGAGAGCGTGTCCATGAACTCGATGTGAAGGAGTTGAACAGAGACTCTGCAAGCTCTCTGCAGGATTCTCTTGGCAGCCAACTTTGGCTGCAGTAAGATGGATTTGTTAAAATCTGGTTCAGCAAAACACAAGGTGGTCCTCGCTTACCGACCACTTGTTCAGCGACCATTCGAAGTTACAATGGCATTGCACAAGGGGGACTTACGACCAGTCCTCAAAGTTCCGGCTGTCCCAGTGCTCCTGAGGTCACATGATCACCATTTGTGATCTTCCCTGCCAGCTTCCCACAAGCAAAGTCAACAAGCTCAGCCAGGGTTGCCTTTGCTAAGCGATGCAGTCAGGTGATGTTGCATTTTACGGCCACATCACTTAGCGACGGAATTCCGATCCCACTTACCATCGTTACCCGAGGACTATGTGTAATTCTGTACTTTCCCCATTTACACAGGCTTCCTGTATCACTGAGCCAGTTATAAATTATCTTTGGTACTCTCTGCACTCCTGTTCATCACCACCCACTGTTCACAGGATTTTAGGGTGGGCGAGTCGGGACGCAGCCACCCACCTTAGCCACAGGCCTTTGGCATCGTCCTCGCCCTCGGCGTCAGCTTCCACCCCGTCGCGTTTGCCGCTGAGCGTGAGTGAGAGCTCCATTCTGGAGAGCTGAGACAACGCCTGCTCCCAGTTACCGTTCGCCCCTTGGCCCAGGCTGTGGCCTGCAAACAGACCACAATCCAACCCGTTCAAAGCAGCAAGGGAAGAAAGCAGACCAGGAGCCCAACCAACTTTTGGGGAAGATGCCCGCGTGGGTCACGAGAGCCCAAGTCGTGGGATGCCAGCAGTATTAGCCTGAACGGCAGGGAGGGAGGAGATGGAAACAGCACCTGGCGAGGTCCTCCGCAAAGGTCAGCAGCCAGGCGTGGGGCTGCTGCCGCTGCTGCAATCCGGCCTCAGGGAAAGGCCCTGCCCGGGCAAGGAGGACCACCCCAGGGGCTGGAAGGGGAGGGGCTCGTGATTCCCCCCTCGGAGTGGCACAGGGATGGTTGTTGGGAATCTAGGACCCGCCGCCCCTCACAATACCCGGTTTAAATGCTGCACTTAGCATGTTCCGCCCAAAGGCGTACAGCAGCGCAGTTTTGAAGTCAACAGCTCATTTGCTTAAAAGCGCTCCTACTAGAAGTCAGTGAACCCTGACCATGTTTCCTCTTCCAACATCATGCCAGGTGACGGCACAGGGTTTGTGCTGCCGCACAGAATAAGTCATTTATTTGCAGGTGGCTTAAGTCTTCTGGGTCCTGCTGTCCAATGCGCACAGCCCAGCCACTGGCCCTGTGCGTGGTTCGTTCCCAGTTAATTAGCAGCGCCCCAGTGTCCTGCGCATGTCTGCCGTGACGGTTTAACTCATCTCCTGTGGCGTGACCAGGGCCCTAACCCTAACCCTAACCCGGAGCTGAAAAAATAAGAACCTGACAGAGGACAGTGGTGAAGGATCGCATCCCAAACGAATTTCTTCTCCTTCAGCCTTTGTCAGCTTCCAGGAGGCACAAGGGCCATGCGGACGAACAGCATGGCTTACCTCTTTAAAGCTGCCCCCAGCACGGGCACAGGGCTGGCAGAGCCCTTACGCAGCCTCAAGCAGTTTGCTTTGGCACCAGACGGGGGAAGTTGGCGAACGGGCCAACCTGTTGTCTGCAGCAGCCACTTCATGGCCTCCAATGGTCACGCTGGCCTGGGTCTCCTCGAGGACGTTTGCTGGACTGAACGCGTCCTGAGAGGAATGGCTCGGCCGATGCCCGCTGGAGGCTGGAACGGCTCTTGCTTTTGCTCCAGCTGGCTGGGCAGTCTCGTTGCCCAGCGCCTCTCAGAAGCAGGCCGTCTCTTCCCCCCAGCTTGTCCCCCTTTGAGGAGAAGAGCCACCAGGCTCCAAGGTCCCCTCCCTCCCCCGACCGCTGGCAGCCTGCACCTCTGGCCTCCCGCCCCCAAATCTGGCCTGCCCACTCTTGTGGCAACCAAGGAGTTGCTATGCCGCGCTCCGCAGGATCCAACCTTCAGTTCTGCAGTAGCAACGTCCTTTGAAAAGTGGCTTTTCTTTCCCTTTTCGTTATCACAATGTACAAAAAGAAAAACACCCATATTCCTCCAATATATCGGGGGATGGCGTTCTCGTGATAACAGAAGGTAGCAAGATGCATTGCACGATCTGTTTAAAATTAGTTTAGCTGACTGACTCCAAACCCTTTCTGATCTATTTGCATTCAGGAGATAATAGGCAGCGGGAAATCCCAAGGGTCTCCCTGCTAATTTCCGCCATTGTGCCGTTAGCTTGGGCACACATCGCTGAATTTTGGGACAAGCTCTCAGTGAAAGCTGTAGTCATCTGTGTTTTATTCTGCTGGAAGGGGGCTTGCAGCACTGGGGTGGTTGGTGGCTTGATAGGACGCTTTCCTCTTTTAACCCTATGTATACTGTAAATATATTTTATTGTTTTTATCATTTTTTATGCGTAAGCTGCCTAGAGTCACTCGTATAGGGAGATGGGTGGCGTATAAATTTGATAAATAAATAAGTAAAATAAACAAATTCTCTGTGGCAGGGTTTGTCAACCTTATCAACTTTAAGATGTGTGGACTTCAAGTCCCAGAATGCTGGCCAGGGAATTCTGGGACTTGAAGTCCACACATCTTAAAGTTGATAAGGTTGACAAACCCTGCTCTGTGGCCAAAGAACAAGCATGTTTCCTGGAAAAGGTTTGGAGGATTATGTCCCTGCTTCCCAAGGACTGAGAGTTTGGACTCTTGGTTACAGGTAAACATCCTCTGCTAAATGAGCATATTAGTGTCACGCTCGCAGACTGACGTGCCATGGAACGCCCTCGCAGCCACCTGCGTTCTTAAAAGTGAATAGCTGCCAAAAAGCAGTCAGGAGAAAGAGGCGCTCCACGCGCTACAGATCAGGGCTGGGGAGGCGCTGAGAGAAGGGGGAGCTGCTCCACTCCTTTGCCCCAAGTCAAAATGGGGCACTAAAACCACAGAATGACTTTTGTTGCAGGCTGTCACCCCAGGCCAGGAGGCGGCTCCTGCCACCCTAGTGCCATCCTGCGGGCTGATGGCAACCCCCTTGCCAGCTGCAGCAAGAGGATGGCTCTTGGCCCCTGTAGCTGCCATCTTCAAACGTGTATCGGGGTTGACATCATGAAGTTGGGTGGTGGCCCTGCCAGGAGGATGGAACTCAGTGGCACTACCAGTTGAACGGCGGAGCAGCCAGCAAATTCGTGGCCCTGCAGGGCTGGGATGCATCCTACCTAAAGGGCAGGGTCTCAAACAAGCACAGCAGGGGTTTCTTGCTGAAAGCCCCCAAAAGCGGCAGTTGGGGCCAAATACAGCCAACGGTCACGCCACTGCTCTCCTTGAAAACCCCGGTGTGTGCTTACAAGTGCAGGCACTGAGACGCTGTAGGAGGAGAGACGTGCTAGTCTACGGCAGCCCCAAATCAGGAAGAGTCTGGCAGCACCTTTTCCAACTTGCAGATTTAATTAAAACCATATGCTTTTGCGAGCTGCAGCCTTTTATAAAATGTGTACATCGGAAAAGGTGCTGCCAGAGTCGTCCTATTTCTGGCAGGGACAGAGAGCCGTTCCACGTAATAAGAGTCCTGCGTTATTGGGAGGACCGTGTCCACCTGGGCAGGGCCCTCTGCTTACCGATTAACGAGGGGACGGTTGGCACCTCTCCAAGGTCTTGCAGAAGCTTGTGCAGAACATCCTGGGGATCGGGAGCCAGGGCGCGCTGGTGCTCCAGGAGCAACTGTGTCGCCGGCAGAGGAAAAGGGGAACAAGCAGAGGATGAGGACATTCACTATTCGTCATTTTACGCCACCTGCCTATCCAAATTGCGTGCGGAACAAAGAAAATTCGAACAATCAGAATACAGTCCCAAAATTACGAATCAGCAAAGGGATAAACAGAAATAAGATAACAGAGAGCCCCAAACTGCCAAACAGCAAATCCAGAGTTACTCCAAACCAAGAGGCACAGCCAAGGGGGCAACTTGGGGGCAAGCGGGTTCTTGGGGCAGGTCTATAAAAACAGTGGGTTTATTTAAAACCAAACACAGATCGCCGGATGTGCATGTCAAGCCATAAAGCATGGGTTACGAACACACAAAATCACAAACACGCCCGCCAGATTTTGGTTCGGCCCGTGCGCAAAAGAATTACCCCCTTCCCCTTAAAGCAGACTTTCGACAGGCTGAGCTGCAGTTTCACGTCTGCACCTTGTGGGTGTTCACCAGCTCCCCAACGGTTATGTAGACCACTGGCTTGGTGATGGCCACCATCTCGGAATATTCGTCCACGTTAAATCTCTCCTCCGGCTCAGGGACTGAACAGGCTGCGCTGATAAATGCCCTAGAATGGAAAAAGAAATAATTAGAAGATGAGGGAGGCAGGTGGGCCCCCTCCCGCGCAAACAGCCAGGACCAAGATCGCTGGGGTGGAGAGAAATGCTCACTATCACGCCTTCAGAAGTTTTATTTTATTTTATTTTATTTTATTTTATTTATTTATTTATCTGAATGTATTAGCCGCCCACCTGCAACAGACTCTTCGGGAAGAGCTGCCAGTTTGAGCAGATGGAAGGACTTTGCACTCTCAGGGCGTAGTTTTCCTCTGGCCAAAAGCTCAAGCAAGTCGGAGGCTGAGGAGCCGGCGTGGATTACATGCTGCCCGCATAAGCCAGGTGCTGGGGGTGACCCCCATTTAGGGGGTCAGGGATGCCAACGCAGGCATCAAAGGGGCAAAGAGATCCGGACAAGGGGCAGGCAGCGCTCCCATCACTCTCAGAGGACGGAGGAAGACCATCTTGTTCCTTCTTTAGGGCGAAGGGGAAGACGGATAACAGGCGGATGAGATGGCGTTCCGTCTCCTGACCAACCTGAATTTCTGATGCGTTTCCTCCAGGTACTGATTCACCACGTTCAAGTGGCGGTTTTCTCCCTCAAAAAGCTGGTTGGCAGCCGCGTGCTGCAGGATCTTGGCCACAGAGGCCAAATTGCGCCGCTGGTCAGGGTGCAGGGGCGCTCCAGCGGAGAGATCCACAACGTCAAAGCCGTCCGGGGCCACCACTGCCGGGTTCATGAAGCGATAATAGAGCAGAGTCCCCACCACCTGAGGCGGGAGGAGCAGGTCTCACTTCCAGGAGCAAAGCTGGCGCGTGGGCAGCCCCGCCACTTCTGGACGCAGCAGCAGCGGAGAGGGAGCGCGCCGCCCACCCCAGCGAGTCTTCTGCCGGCCCACCCGCCGTCTGCCCTTGGGGCCCAGGAGCATTGAGAACACTGACGCAAAATATTGGCGCTGCTGGGGGGGGGGGGGGGCTGGCCATTTGCTACAGGGGACGTAATAAAATAAAGTTTCCCTCGAGTTGAAGACAACTCCCTGCAACTCCACAGACACGCTTTTCTTGTCCTCTGGGGACTTCCTGGTGGTTTCCCACCCAAGGACTAACCAAGTTAAGGTTAGTTTTCAAGGTCAACCAAATCAGTGGGTACTATCACCTGCTGCGACATTCATAGTCGCCACCTTTACCCGTGCTTTTCGCTTCATTTAGTTAAGCTGTGCCTCCCTGCCCTGCAGCTCATCGCCATGCGATGTACATGTTCTAATGCTGTCTGAGAAACTGAGGACCCAGAATAACCTTACGCGGAGGGAGGGTCAGACGCCAGTTCTGCCCTCCCTCCCCGGCCCACCCTCCGGGCCCCAGACCTTGTAGACCTCTTCCTTGGAGGCATCTGGAAACTTCTCAGTCAAGGTTGTCTTCAGGACTTTGGCCATGTAGCGCATCCCATACCTGGAAAGAGAGCAGGCTTTGAGCCGCCAAGACTCGGTTCCCGTGGGTCCCAGGAAGAAATGGTGGCGGCACCCAGAGCTGCAGGCTGGGGAAAGCGCACTGGCAGGGCAAGGCGTAGCCCACCTGTGCCCCCTCTCCGGCCTGGAGCACTTCAGCCAAAACGCGGCTTTGGCAACCTTTAATTTGACGGGTGGGAAAGCCGCCCTGCCTACCCAGAGGGATGCTGAGGAGGAAGGGGAACGATGGGGCGGGTGGGCGGACAGGGCCCAGGTGGGGCCCCATCTAGCCATGATTTTGCCTAATCTCCCCTTTCTCCGGCTCAGTCCATCTCACAGGGTTGTTGCAAAGGTACGTTCCAAGTTGTCTTTCGCTCTCTGGAGGAAGGACAGAGATGTAAGCAAACAACTAGTATGTCTCAGGAAAGTTTATCACCGTGTTGGGCGAGTACCTTCCGGGGTATGGATTTTATACTGCGACAGAACGTCCTGCAAAGCAACAAGGGGTCCTATCGTTGTTTAACCCAGAGGGCGCTTGGCCCGAAGCAGGGGCGTCTGCGGCGTGGAGCCTAAAAGCTTGGCCGGTTTTTGTGCCTGCCCGCCCTCCGGGCACCTCGTCCTGAAACCCCACAAGAGCTCAGCGGTCGGGCCTCAAGCTGCAGCGTGAGTTCAGCGTTAATGCCCGAAACCTCGCCAGATCGCGGCCACTCCCTAACATCAATGATTTTATTTCTCATTGGCGCGACGCCTGCTTAAGAACGGTCACACAAGGCGGCGCAGCAAAAGAGACGTAGCACTAAATCCATACGGGATTTTGTCCACCGAAGAGAGGATGGCCGAGAGAAACTTGTCTGCCAGCACGAGGAGATGGCCGAGGGAGGTGTCCAGCCGCCTCTGGACCTCAGGGTGACCGAGGGCTTGTTCGGGGGTGACATTGTACGGAAGATTGCTGGGAAATGGAAAAACAGATCCGACTGAATGGAGAGCAGAGTTTAGTCACGTTTTCCATTTCTGCCTCCCCAACCTCCCACGCTTGAGGGTCAGTGTTATTTTGCCTCCGCCCAGAAGGAGAGCTGTGGGGTGCCTCCAATGGCCACGTTTGTTCCCCCGGTTCCTTGCAAGTCCCCCCCGCCTTTCCTCTCTGGCCACCTTCTTCCTGTCGAGACCAGCCTGGGCCCTTCCCCGAGACCCCAGGAAGGGAGACCGAAGCACCCTCAACCCTGCTCCAGCTTCTTTGTGTTTTATGACAAAGGACATAAAATCCGATCTCGCTCATACTTTCTGCGAGGGGTCCTGCCCCGCCAGCCCCCCGGTACATGCGTTGGGACTGCGGCTCTCCAAGCTGGAAGCCATGAGATCGCCCTCTGGGATTCGCGGTCCAGCACCAAGCAGAGGGGGGAAAGGTCAGTCACGCCCACCCACCTCTTCTGCCCACTCTGCGACTCCATTTCGTTGATCCAGCCCCTGTAGATCTCCACAGGACTCATGCGGATGCTCAGGTTTCTGTTCTGCAGGACCTCTTGCACCGGCTCTCCCAGGATCTGGCGCAAGGCGTTCTGCCCACGAGCGTTGCGATAAAAGCTCACCACCATGCGGATCACGGTTGGGTTCCCCGTGAGGATCTCCCGGAGCTGAGTCACTTTTGACCTGGAAGGGGGACAGAGGCAATGTCCTGGGCGCAGCCAAGGCACCGAGCAGCCCCTCAGATCTGGGAGGAGAGGGCCGCTCGGTTGCCAGCTTCATTTTATTTCAGAAGCTCTGTTTGGACTCAGCGCGGGTAAGGAGCCGCAGGGATGACCTTGGAGAAACTGTGCATAGACGGTTACAACAACGCGCAAAAGCACGCGTTGCGCCTGAGAAACAGGGAAAGAGTTGGGGTAGGCTCAGACCGACCCCTCCCTGGCCAATATTCCTTCTTGCTAGGCCCGCGCAGACACACAGCAGGAAGCCTCTTTGCATCTTTCCAGCAACTCCAAAGCAAATGGCGCCGTGTGCAGCGGGTAGGTGTCTGTGGGCTAAGTGGCCCTTTCAACTCTATGGACCCCCTGCAGTCAATCGAGTCGCGAGAGTAACAATTCCTCCTCCCAGGCTGGCAATTCAAAGGCAACCATATACCTGAACCAAGCTAGCGCCATGTTTAACCGCTGCACGAACTTCAGTATAAGAAACAGCGAGACGCATGTGGGGCAATGCCAGGCGCAGAGACACTGAGTTCTTGCGTTCAGTTCACAGGAAAGGCATTTCACAGGCTGATAAGCTTGTTTCTCACACAGCTCGTTTTGACCAGGCTCAGCACGACGGTTATAAAACTTTATAAACCAGCCCCTTGACATGGACACTCCATAACAGAACATAGCACACGGCCCGCTGTCCGTAACAGGGAGCACTGCATGTTTACTCCTGTACGTAAACCTTCAATAAAGCTTGTGCTGATCATGCTGGTTTCCACTCCTCTTTCTTGGGAATCGCGAATGGACACAGGTAAAGCTTTGGGGGAAAACCGCAACTCGTGCAGAGCGGCTGCCCTCTGAGCACAGACTCCAGGCTTCTAGGACCGTCTCGTGTTAACAGCGCTGAGCCGGAGAGTTACCCTAAGAAGCCTTCCATGACGCCAAATGGCTTTCTGGATCTCATACGGTAGCCTGGCTCACTCAGTGCTGGACCCTGCACTCAGTAAACCTCAGCAGGCATAACCAAAAGCACGTTTAGCTCCACGATAGAATAAGCTAGAAGCCCTCACAATAGCAGATAAGTTGCATAAATCAAAATACGGGCAGGAAAGGGAGTAAGTGATAAGGAGCACAGAGCATACAAGAGTCCAAAGCAAACTCTCTTTGTCCAAACTGTACCATAAAGGACATGGTTGTTCCTCTTCCGAAACAACCATCGTCTGTCCTAATAAGGTCTGCAGGAAAAGGTGACGTAATATGTGTAAACCAACATGACAAATTGCTTGCTGGTCTGCTAACATTTGCCTTCTCCATAAAGAGAGCGCTTTGGGACTGCAGATTCCATAAAACGTCTTCCGCTGGTTTGGCCTCAGTGCCCTAAACTGGGGTTCACGTCCGCTAAGATCTGCAGAGCCAGGGAGAGCCTGGCCGACCTCCCAGGGGAGAAGCAGAGGCTTTCCGAGGAGGGCGAGCTGAGCGGCCGCGGGAAGGAGAACTGGGACTCACGCAATCTCCTCCTGCAGGGCGCACCGGAAGAGCTGGAGCAAGAGGTAGGCGTCTCTGGCGCTGGAGGCATAGCTGTAGAGGCTGAAGACCACCGACTCCATGAACTTGGTGGACTTGTTTGGAGGCATCTGCATGATCAGCCTGGCCAGATACACCGGGCGAGTCTGGAAGGAGAAAGAACAGCAGGAGAGGGTTACCTAGACGCCAATGCCTTTCTTGGACGGGGGGCCACATCCCCCCGTCCCATGCAAAGGGTAACTACTAACTGTTAACAACTCCTATGCTGACGTTACCCAGAAGATCAGGCGCACAAGCCCCAGCAGACCACCAGATTCCCGGGACAGAAACCACAACACTCCCCACTGCTCACTGCTGGAACTGTTGGGGGGGGCGCAGTTTTACACTCCCTGCACACAGAGGGACTGTGAGACTGTAGTACAAGAATCCATGAATGAACCGTGGCACTTTCTGTAGCCTTTTGCTGCCATCTGGACTTTTGCACTACGTATAGGGTAGCCCTATCCCTGTGCCGTTTCCTGTTCCTGTTGGAACCAGCCAAACGGATGAAAACTCTTTTTTCTTCAGTAACCATGTAGACGCTCTGTACTTCCTACATTTTGTGTACCAATTATTTTCTGTCTAAAAAAATATACAGGGGAAAATGTGCTTCTAACGAAAGGGTTCCTACTAAAAATGTTCAAATTATCCCTTAATATTCACAACTATATTTTTTTTAAATAAACATCCCAATGAAGCTTGAGTCATGCATCACCATCTGTGGGCCCCATAAAGATTATGTGAGACATAGTAAATCAATACTAGTTCCTGAGCAGCGAGTTAAAATCAAAACAGAATGCTGGGTTCTGCAAGACTTTTCTGGGAGCAATTCAGCAACTCTCTCATGGCAGTTGAAGGATTGCTACTATGCTCCAGCCTGTTTTTTGAAAATCAAGCTTCCTGACTTCAGAAATATTCAAAATGGTGCCCCTCTTTACAGCCTGGGGGATTAGAAACTTTGGGGTGGTGGTGGTACTGGATTAATCCAAGCTCAGTTCTAATTTATTCAGTGGAGAGACAATAATTTGCATATACAGATAGGCCTCGACTTATGACCATTCGTTTAACAACCATTTGAAGTTACGACTGTGCTGAAAAAGTGACTTACAGCCAGTCCTCACACTTATGACTGTTGCAGCGTCCCTGCAGTCATATGATCAAAATTTGGGCATTTGGCAACCAGCATGTATTTATGATGGTTACAGTGTCCCAGAGACACATGATTGCCATTTGTGACCTTCCCAGGAGGCTTCTAACAAGCAAAATCAATGGGGGAAGCCAGATTCGCTTAACGACTGTGGCAAAAAAGGTCCTAAAATTGGGCACGACTCACTTAACAACCTCATCGCTTAGCGATGGAAGTTCCAGTCCCAATTGGGGTCGTAAGTCGAGGACTACCTGTATTGCAAACCTTAATCCCTAAACCTTAAAACAAAGATGAAATATTTCAAGATTGTCTCTTTGATCTAATGTTATTTTGAGAATTCTTGTTCAATTTTACACAATATATAAATTTATTCCTTTTTTCTTCATGGTTGTGCTATTAAATATCTGTTTAAAAAAAAGATGCTGCACACATAACAACCAAGTGGTCCCAGTCGTATCACTGGTCGTGCACGCATCATAAACTAGACATTGCACTGTGTTAGTCTGCGGTAGCCCCAGATGAGAGGCCTGGTAGCATCTTGTCAGACATAACGGATCTGATGAAGTGAGCTGTAGCTCACCAGAGCTGCTGCTGTTTAATAAGGTGTGTTAGTCTGAGACAAAAGGTCCAGGCTCGGAAGATGCCCCCAACCTGCAGGTGGTAGAAGAGGTGCTGATAGGCCTCCAGGGCCTTCCGCTTCTCCTTGCTGAGAGCCTTCAGCCCGTTCTCCTTGCTCCAGTCCATCATACTGGAAAGTTCCTCCTTGTTCTTCTTGGTCAGCTTCCTGCAGTGCGATGCCACCTCCTGCCCCAGAGGAGAAGCAGAAGAATGACCCAACAGCCAGAGCAACACCCCCCTCAATCTCTCTTCTCCAGCCAAGACAGCCTCTGCCTGAGGCTGCAAGTGGATCAATGAGAGGGGCAACAGGCTACCTCGAAAGGGGGGCTGCAGGGCCCCACTGGGGGGGTGGGCAGCAGAAGGGAAGCGCCATCACCTTGTTGAGGGGCAGCAGAGCAATCACACAAGGCTCCATTCAGTCAGGCACGCACATGGCAAGGGAAGCAAGGGGAGAAGCAGCCCCCCTTGGAAGAGGCAGCCGGCCAGCCGCAGGAGAGATGATGCTTGCAAAGAGACCCATCTCTCTGTGACCCAGTCTGCAGCAGGGTGGGTGACCAGCTGGCCAGGCAGCTCGTTTGCTCCACGGCAAAGTAAGGGCCACTTTTGCCTTTGGGTGGAAAAGGTCTAGGATGTGGGTTAAGTGGTGCTGTCCTCCCCCTTTGGAGGCTGAAGCCCTGCCTCTTCTGGTTAGTTCCTATGGTGCCAGAGTTACCCAGTGGCCATTGCTGGGTTCCAGTTTATATGGGAAGGAAGCAACTTCCCCCAGGCGTGCAGTTTCTCAACCAAGCAAGCCGAGGCGCCTGCATTCCTGCCCCTGCAGTTTATGCGAGTGCTCGAACCCAGAAGGGCCCATCGGCTCTGACAACGCCCAGGCTCTCCGTCGGAGCCACGCCCCAAGCCGGAATCCTTCTCTGTGTGCAGGGTCTGCTCCATCCCCCTCTGACCTGGAGAGTGATCCTGTTCTTGACCAGTAATCCGATTTTGATGTCCATCAGGTTGAGGTCGCTCTCCAGCTGCTGGTTGGAGCGGATTCCCCTCACCACGTTCTCCTGGAGAGCCAGCAGCTCCAGCTCCTCCTCGTAGTCGCGCTGACTCTGTTCCAGCAGATGGGCAAAGCGCCGGACGATGCTGATGGGGGGGCTCCTGCTGTGCACTGGTGGCGAAGGGAGCACAGAACCAACCTGTCACCCGGGCTGCAGCCACACTGCAAATCGGGAGCCCACGGGAACCTTCCCCCTCCATTCAGCGCAGCGGGGGGCTCTGAGCGGCCCCACAGTCATGCTGCGCCTCAGGAGCTCTGCCAGGACCATCCAGGCTACAGCTAGAAGCAAAGCTGGGACCTGCAGATCGGGCGTTTCATTGGCACCACACGAGCACCTTGAAATGGGGGCAATAATTCCCACAGGTTTTGCAGAGGAGGAGCCTAAATGGAGCATGCGCACCCCGCACCCCCAGGCAAGGAATCCGGACACTCACCCAACATCCTGTAATCTTCTCTTGCCTTATTGGCTCGCACGAAGGCCTGGATCTTAACCACAGCTGCAACCTGCCAAGAGACTGCCAGTTTTCAGCCAAGCCGTGGCATCTTCGCCAGCTCACAGGAGCAAAAAAGGGGCCCGTTAAGCTGTTCCCCGAATTTAGTTTGATGTGAACCTGGCTGCGTTATTTAGTGACTTTTCAAGGAAGTTCTAAAGAAAGGGCTTTCTGATAAGACAGCTGTCCAGATGTGTTGAGAGTGAACTCCCAGAATTCACTAGCCTTCGAGAACGATCAGCCCAGGAGCAGGGAACGAAGACGGTCACGGCGGTTTCCAGCCGCTCTGAAGACCTCCGAGAGGCCACGGAGTCACCCGCAGAGAGGAGAACCACGGGGGATGGATGGCGAGCTGAGCCCCGCCCCACCCCACCCCGGCCTGTTCCCTTTCCCCCGATGCCTTCGCTATGAATTCTGGGAATTGCATTCCTGCACATCTGGAGGGCACAGGTTGGGGAAGGTGGGTGATGGCAGAAGAGTGCTTATTGTGGTTGTCATTTTAAGGTCTTCCCGACACGTTTATTAGGGATGTGGCATTAAGAGTGGAGCCTCCACGTTCAGGAGCAACCTGAGAGTCGAGGTGCCTGCAGAAGGGCTCGCTGGAGGCATCTGGGTGGTCTCTCCTGGGGAGAGGACACGGCGGGCAGCACGGCCACCCAACCGGGCACCTCGTAGCCTTCGGGGCGGCAACACTCACGTTCTCCCTGAAGTAGCGCAAGCGTTCCAGGTACCGTTTTCGGGCACGCCACATCCGTACCCAGGACTGAATCTGGTGCAGCAGGGAGAGCAGAGGGAGGGCAAAATCACTCCCTGCCACTGGCACCGTAATCAGAGAAGCCCCCCAGCCAGCCGCCCGCCTACCCGCCCGCCCAGCAGTTGACCCGGGAGGCTCACTTTGATCACAGCAGCCGTGTTCCTCCGCAAGTGGCGCAGCCTCTCCAGGTAGCGTCTGCGTTGCAGGTATCCGCGCCAGGAGGCCTGGGGGCAGAGGGCGAGGGACCGGGGTGACCCTCCGATCTCTGGGGCCCCTCCACGGCCGCCTCGTCCTCCCCTTGGCCCATCGAGCAGAGCCCTCTCTCCTTCCGCTGGCTTTCCAAGCCTTGTTCACATGGGACCACAGAGGGGCGGGGGGGGGGTCTTCCTCTAAAGCAGCAGCAGATGCCCCCTCCCGAAGCCGCCTCTCCACAGCTGCCCCCCTTGGTCTCCGGCAAGAGCTTTCCCAGGTTCCACCCCAGGAAGGGAACAGGACGCTGGGCTACGGCCTCTCTGGGGGCAGGATGCCTCCCTGGCAATCGGGGAGCAGGCCCGCCAGCAGGACAGAGGGAGCAGTTAACGCCAACCTGCCTGGTCCAGCTGCTGCCACCAGCACCGGGCAGAGCGCGGAGGAGCTTCTGGCGGAGCTACTCTTGAGTTGCTGCTCCTCCACGGGGTTGGTGGCCCACCCGCAGGGCCAGAGAGGGACCGAGAAAGGAGGTCAGCGTAAGGGCACCAGGTTGGGGAAGGGGAGTTCCATCGGGGGCCTTCCCCACAGCTGCAGCCTACCTGGATTTTAACAGCTGCCGGCACCTGCTGGGACAGGAACCGTCGCCGCGCCGCCCACTTGCGACGGACGAGAAAGCCCCTCATGCGGGCCTGCAGCCGGATGACAAGCCGGACGTTGGATCCCCACAGGCGCTCCCGGTCATGGGCGGAGGTCACTCGGGCTATGGCCGCCTGCAGCGGAGACCCACGAAAGGTCCGTTGGGACGGCTCAGGTGGAATGGTTCGCTTTGGGAGGGTTCCCTGCGCACCCTGGGCTGCTTGCACCGGCCTCCGGGGGACCCCACGTGCCCCCTGCTGCAATGATGCCCTAAGGGGGGAGGCCGGGCCAAGACTGGGACTCTGTGAACGAGGCTGCGCCAGGAAGGGGCTGCCACTTTCAAGCCCTCTTCTCTGCCCTTCGCGGCTTGTCTCCCCTTCAACCCTCCCCCGACCCTGATTCAGTGCCACGTGGCTTAGCCGGACGGGCTTCGTCGCCCACGCGTTCAGCAGCGGGATCCGCTCTCGCGCAGCTGCTTTCTGTCACACCCACCTGGATCTCCTCCCGGCTGAGGTGGGCCGTGCGGAGGGCGAGGGGCTTGGGCTGCTCCCACGAGCCCTCAAAGGACCGCAGGCTGAAGTAGTACTCCGTGCCATCTTTCAGTCGGTGCCGCACCCAGGGCGCTTTTGAGTCCCCTGCGCAGGAGGCCGACGTTAAAGACGAAGATCAGGCCGAAAGGCTTACAGCGTTTAAAGAGTGGGGCCTCCCTCCTGAATTCTGGCTGCGGGAGCAGACCCTCCCTCGTTTACCTGCAGGCTTTCGTGCAGCCGCCACGGCACAGAGCTGCGCCTGGTAAGCCGCGGCACACTCCACCACCACGCCACAGAGACCCACGTGCGGATTGCGCAGGACTCGGACGGTTTGGGCCGCGTTCCCTTCCCTGATGGCCTGGTTAATGGCGGCGACGCCCAGGGCCACTGTGGGAAGATACAGAAGAGGCTGCAGCTGGGACGGGAAGCCGTGGGTCCTGGGAGGGCCGAACATCTTCCAAGCCATCTTCATCCCCCAGCCCCAAAAGCTGCTCGAGTCCGGGCGACCCGGCGGCCCCTTTGCTTCCGGAAAGGACCCCAGAGCAGCCCCCAGCCTGGGCCTTACTTTGGAGTGCAGCTTCGCCGTCTTGGTTGGCCCTGCAGACCCCCTCCTGGATTTCTTCCCACCACAGGAGCGCTCCGGCATCTCCCGTCACCTGGGCAGAGAAGGCGAAAAGGGCAACCGGCGCCCCGTTCTGACCGAGCCCCCAGAAGCCGGGGATGCAGCCAAGCTTTGCCCCGCGCCTGGCGGACCTTTGGCTTTCACAGGCAGGTTTCAAGGCTCTGGCAAAGCCGGAAATGAAGCTTTGCCAGCTTCGCAGAAGCCTAATCTGCAGTACGGGATTGCCTTACGTTTCCCACAACAACCCTGTGAAGCAGGTCATGCAGCGAGGGCAAACCTGGGCAGGGTTCCCCTGTAAGCCTCACACCAACAGCAGTTGTCTTCATCCTACGCAGCCCAAGCGCAGGGGCTGCACCCCACCAGCCCATTTGCAGGCCTGTCTCCTGCTTCAGGAGCCTGGACTCCTCCTCTGTTCTCTGACTACAGGCAAAAAAATCAGAAGGGGTCTGGTGGCTCCCGTAGACTAACATGGCTCTCCTCCTGCGCCATCCGACCAGTGGCATCATAGAAGACCAGCTGGCCTAGAGGGGCGGATCAGGGCCAGGGCGCCTGTGGTTCAAGTCTCCCCTTTTGGGGGACCGTGCTGCATGGCTGATCCTCCCGGATTTGGCACAGAGTTGTAGAATCACCAATGCAGCCCTGTGCTCCCACGATCCCAAACCTCAGTGATGTGCACACGTGTGGATTTCAATTCCCCAAATTCCCAAGCATGGCCACTGCTGAGAATTCTGGGAATTGGAGGGCAGGCAACTGGGAGGCCCCCAGATTGGAGGCAGCGATACTGTACGGAGAAAGGAGGCAATAAAACACCACTGATCAATCCCACGTCTGGTTTCTATGGGTTCATAAAAGTACATCCTGGTTTCGTACAACCCTTAGCGCGGCTTCTGGAGATAGCTAATCCAGAGGTCATGCACCCAGCTCTGGGACAGCCTGAAACTTTTGCTCAAAGTGCCTGTTGGTGTTGGTACAGGACATCCCCACCCCAAACATCACGCCTTCTTTCCCCACCTGGGCTTTCTGCCTCAACATCTGGACCAGAACGAAATGGTATCGCTTGGCCCTCGGGAGCATCACATCACAGAGGCCGGCCGACGGCAGGAGCAGAGCCGTGAGGGTCCTCTCTGGACAGGCACCCAGCAGAGCCTCGTTGATCAGCCGGACGGCAAGGATTTCTGCAAGAGAAGAGGGAGGCATTGGCTAAGCCAAGGGCCGGAGAGAGACGCTTCTTAAGGATTTGGTAGGATTCCTGCAGAATGGCACCTTGAGGAATCCATCGGCTGTTAGCCTGTTTGTGACTTGTACATTTTAACGTCCAGAGGCCTTTAACTCTGGAAATTGAATCTTTAGGAGTGTGTAATTCTGAAATGAGTCCTGTATCCTCTGGGAGGCAATCCAAGGGTATCCTGCTAGGAGGCTGTGCGTATAGGCACCTGATTTCAAAACTGTTCGAAGTTACGACAGTGCTGAACGAGGGGTACTTACAAACAGTCCTCAAAGATCTGGCCATCCCAGCGCCCGCAGTCACGTAATCGCAATCTGGGCACTTGGCAACTGGTTCGCACTTATGACAGTTGCAGTGCCCTGTGGTCATACGATCACCATTTGCGAACTTCCCTGCCAGCTTCCAGCAAGCTAAGTCAATGCGGAAGCCAGTGGGGAAGGTTGCAAGTCGCTCTGGTCAGTCTCCCCAGCCTCCCTGCTTCCCTTGCCCTCCCTACACTTGCACACAGCCTGCACCAGGCCTCTCAGGACCCCCCCCCCCCCGGCACCCCTGCGCTCCTTACCTGGGACTCCCACCTCTTCCTGCTTAATGACCCGTGCATCTTAGCGTTACGACGGCAACCGGGACTGCTAGGATTGTCGTTGCTAAGCGATGCTTTACAACCGCATCGTTTAGCAATGACAATCCCAGTCCCAATTGCTGTCATAACCTGAGGACTACCTGTACAGGCAAAAAGCCTCAGGTGTCTTGGTGGGCTTGTTCAGAGCTGTTCCAGAAGGGGAGGGGGTCAGGAACCTGGGGTTAAAGTATAAAGAAGCGGATTTCGCTGGACGTCAGGCAAAGATTCCTAAGATAAGAGTTGTTCCACAGTGGACCAAATGTCTTAGGAGGCGATGGATTTTCCTTCAATGGAGGCATTTACACTAAAGCTGGATGGGCATCTTTGGGGGGGGTGCTCTGCTAGGGGTTCCTGCATGGGCCAGGGGTAGGACAAGTTGATCTCCGAGATACCCCGATTCTGTCTTTGCAGGTGGGACTGTCCCAGCTGGGGAATCCAGAGGGCCGGACGTGGCTCTTGGGCTGTCGCTCGCAGCCCTCTGTGCATACCCCGTTGCAATCGACCCAAAGTCCCCTTTGGGCAAAGAGCCTTACTCTCCCCCTCCTCGCGGACGAGGGCGTTCACGTCATTCACCGAGGCCTGGATATCGTTCCAGCTCAGGAAGTCACGCCGTGTATCCCGAAAGAGGCACTTCTGTTTTGACAGGCTCTCAAAATAACTGAAGAATTAAAACAAAAGAGAACACCAGGTTGGAGCCAGAGTCAGTGTTAGTTAGACTACAGAAATTAATCATGGTCTACTCTAACTGCGAAAAATTTCTGGAGCTAACCGTTGGCTAGTTGGGTACACAGCACAAGATGCTGTGAAGAAGGAGGGAAGGGCCACCGTGCTGAGCCGGGGAGGGCGTCTTACCGCTGCGCGTGGCCCTCTTCCACACCGGAGAGGCCCAGGCACGAGCTGAGGAGGCTCCTCCAGAAGCTGGAGCTGTCTCCGTCCTCCAGGGCTTGGTTGACCAGCGCCACTGCGGACAGCATCTCCACCGCGACGAAGAGCTCCTCTTGGGCCAGCTCCCCCTGCGAAGGAAGCCCGCCACCTGCTTTTTGGCAAGCCAGGCGTGCCCAGAAGAAGCCCCCGAGCAGACGCTCTTGAGCCGGCCGATGGCCGTCCCCATCGTAACACCCCCAACGCCGAAAAGCAGGAGATACCCATTGGCCGGCCCAGGACATGCGCCTGATTCCATACAATGGACTTTCGAACGATTCTCATTCTCAATATTTTGTAGGGTTTGAAGGGGATGAGAAGCACAGTTCTGATGTTTTAAAAAAAGATTTGAAAAGCTCAGGGCTGAAGGGAAGGGAAGGGAAGGGAAGGGAAGGGAAGGGAAAAGGGAAGGGAAGGGCCATACAGACAGGAGAGGCAGCAGCTGTTTGGGCTGCAACCCAACTGGGGCTCAGCCCACCCAGAGAAGCCCTTCCTGGGCCCCACTCACCTGGGGGTGCTGCCGCTGCAGAGCAGACAGTTCTCGCTGGTAGAGCTCAGCGGCAAAGGAGAAGACCTCCGGGAGCTGAGCCTCGGGGTTTGCCAGGGCCCGCAATGTCTCCTCTGCGATTCCCCTCCGCAGGGAAGCGTTGATGTGGCTCATGGCATATGCAGCTACACAGGCACAGGGTGGATTTTCAGGTGTTTTAGAAAGACGACGTTGGGGCAGGAAGAGTCAGGAAGGGGCACGAGGCGGCCCCAAAGCTTCTCAGGCCAACAGGCAAGACGCAGGACTTCCCTGCAGGAGACCCCCTCCCCAGTGGCTCTCTGTCCCCAAAGAGCACAGACAGCACCCAACGAGCCAAGGCTGGACCCAAGGCAGTGCTCCTCCCCGAAGCATCACATTAAGTGCTTTGCTGGCACTGCCCTTGTCTCCCCCACCAACAGATTGCCCCGCCAGGCTGCAATGCCTCCACTGCTCCTCCTCCGCACCAGGTCCCTTTCCTTTCCCCGCTTCTAGGGGTCAGCTTGACCCACTCATGGCAGGAGATCTTCTCTGCAGGCAACATATGCTGCTCAGATGAGCGTGTAGGTGTGGGAGGGGAGTTAGAAAAGCTCTAAAACAGTGTTTCTCAAGCGTGGCAACTTTAAGATGGGTGGACTTCAACCCCAAGAATCCCCCAGCCAACATGGCTGGCTGGGG